CAGCTTTCAGTTTTAGTTCTAGATTTAGTTAACGGTAATAACACTGGATCAAACAGCACAAAAGTTAATGTAATTTAATACAAACAAAGCACTCTGGGTGGGAGCAAATGGACACTGAATTATCTAGGCTAAAGTTTAATCAGACTAAAGGGCTGTTTTAAAGTCAGACAAAGCTGCTCATCCACACAAACAAGCGAAGCATGATGAAATATCAAAGAGAACCATGCAATATGCATCTATTGATCCAAATAGTAGGCAACATGTGTTGCTGTTCTTTGTTGGCGATAGCTTGAGCGTCGGCCCCTGGAGGATACAGAAATGGTGTCCAAAAGCTTCACTATTAATGAGGCAATGCAGGACTGCACTAAGTAAGCAATGGCATTAATCTAAAGTAAATCCAATCCATATTCTCATCAGCATATCCTCCAAGACTTTAATATTTAGCAGTACACAAAACTTTCCAGTAAACATACTGGAACATCTACAAGATTAATACCAAGAATATTCATGACTGAAAACTAACCTGAGACATTATTTACCCATTATGCCCTTTTTACAAAACTTTAATGATTCATAAGATCTAGATCAGAGAAGCCTAGATGCTTGCATGCTGTGCGGGAGGCTGCTGTCAGCATGTTTATTTTCAGTGAGCACACACATAAACACTCATTTACTGCCAGTGAGAACCCGCAAATCTAGACCAGACAGGGGGATAGTACTAGAGGAGAAAAGCTTGTATTTATACATTCAAATCCTTGAATTAGTTATTCAGTGAAATCTAAGCATGATAATTGGTTACTGTATACAAACTCTCTCTCTCTCCGACATTCTGCTTCCTCTTGAAACACCAGAGGAATGTCTGATTTGCGAACAAATGGCTCTTCTTTTTAAAGGGGTCATATGATGCGATTAAAATTTTTCCTTTCTCTTTGGAGTGTTACAAGCTCTTGGTGCATAAAGAAGATCTGTAAAGTTGCAAAGACTAAAGTCTCAAATCCAAAGAGATATTCTTTATAAAGGTTAAGAGTCAACCATGCCTACCTAAAATGGCTCATTCTAACACGCCCCCACATGTCTACGTCACAATGTGGGAAGATTTGCATAACACCGCCCAAATGTGCACGCAAAGAAAGAAAGCGTGGTTTCAGGAACAGCAGT